TATATATATATATATATATATATATATATATATATATGAAAAGAGGAGGTTATTTTTTTGTTGCAAGTGATGATGTTGGCTCAAATGAGTCAACCCTTTCATTTGCTATAGTCATTATGAGATTTGAGTATTTCCTTATATCTTGAAATGTGTTTAAGTTTGCTTATCCTATATAAAAAGATGATTTTAAAATATTGAAATGATATCTTGAGAGTGATATATATTTTAAAATCTTGTGTTATGGTTCGTTTTTAGAAATCCCACATTGATGAACAAATGATACATTGATCGAGTATGATAAGTATATATAAAGTGATATTTTTGTTGCAAGTCATGATGTTGGCTCGAATAAGCCAACCATTTCATTTACAATTGTCATTATGAGATTTGAGTATTTCTTGAATCTTGAAATTCTCAATGTTAAAATAGGAATCCATGTTAGTTGGTCCATCTTGTGTTTAGCTTAGTAGTTGCTACTTGCTTTCTTTGATCTGCAACACCATAAATAAGTGACGGACAAAAGCATGGTGAGTGGTCTATGCCCTCTAAGGGAAGTTGCAGCAATTGATTCAGCTATCTTCACAATATAACTTAGAATTCACATTAGGAAAGTATGGAACGAACATTGGAAGTTTATGAACTTATGATGTTGAAGCAGAAGGTGTTAAAGAAAAACAGAATGTAAAAGGCTTGGACATGGTTACGTTGTATTTGAAAGGATCATAGATGAATTAGGAAGAGAATTAGAAGTGCAAACAGAAGCAACAAACAACTACTGACCACAACCTCAAAACAACAACTTATTGTTAAAATAGTCACGTCATTGTGCAACACAGTAACAACCATGAACATAAACCAGTTGTAGCAACACTGCGCCTATTTCCTGTTTACCAAACAACCAGCCAAGCTTGTTGTCATTCAGCTCAAAATGCAGATTGATGGATAAGGAGAACTTTTAACAATATAGACACAAACATATGTGAAATAATATGAGATGATACCTTGAATCGAGAATGAACCTGTATCCATTAATATGTAAACCAAGAGATCAATTTGGGAGGATTTGAACCCTAAACATAACATTTTGAAAAGAGGAACGAAGATGCAATACCATAAGATGATAAATAAAAACTAACCGTATGGAGATGGAGTCAGCAGAGGAGCGATGGATCAAATGAAGCATTGAGAAGAACCCTAACCATATTTAGAAATCAATTGTGAATCGTACCGAGAGCATGAATCGAACATCTTGGGAAATCAATTGTGAAGTAGGAGTGCAGTTTGGGAGATCGCCGACCATAGCTGCAACTGCAACGGTGACTGGTGAATGCGTGTGATAAAGATTAGGAAAACCATTTGTTATAGAGCGGGAATAACACCTTGAGAGCATCAATCGTTCCCTTGAAACCTGAAAAGTCTCCTCGATTGAAGCTAAATCCACAGTAAGACATTTGAGGAAGAGTGCATGCTTTACCATGTTGTTAAAGTGTGCTTGTTAACCTGTGATAACAGTACATAGTGCATAGATTAATAGTACAAAGTGCAATAAAAGTTGTTTTTAAGACATTGTGCATCAAAAAGTAGTATCTCATGCATTTAAAGTTGAATTTAAAACTTTTTTCAAATCTGGTTTATAAGGTAGTATAGATAAATCATATTTTTATGATATATAATTGTTAACATACAAAATCAGAATATGATAAAAATAGAAAAAATAATATCAAATAAGAAAAAAGATAGAAACAAAATTTGGTGATATAGTTTAGGAGTAAACTACATTAAATAGATTCACATTTTATCACTCTAAAAGATAATTTCAAAAACACATTCAAGGGTATAAATCTTTAACATGTTTTTCTAATTTCAAAATGATAATAAAATAAGAATACATTTTGTTTATATGTTAAAATCCGTCAGCAAATACGAGTTTATATATATAAAAAAAAAACATTAAATACGAGTACATGATATGATATTGATTTAATATAAATTTTGTTGTAAAATAACCGTATTGTCTTTTTTTATCAACCTGGATATCCAACCCATTATGCGGGCCGACTAATCATAGGAAGCCCGGAGTCACCACATTTGAACCTCCATGGTCACATGAGAATTTTTATTTCTCCTTGGATTTGAGCCTGGGACCTCCAGGTACTTTTGACCTTTGGAGTCAAGCTCAAACCAATCGGGCACCACATTTATGATTTACGATATTGATTTTTGGGATTTATACAAATGAATTCTACAAATAATGAAGTTTAAAAATATAAATATTAATGTGTCCGTACAATAAATGCAAACTTATCTATTATTTTGCTTCTTACATAAATCACATCAAAATTATCCTTTTATATATAGTT